TACAAAATTAGCTATATTCTTATTAAAAATGACTTATACGTTCATAGCTATTTTTTCCAATGGGTACCTATGTAGTTCACTAATAAAAACGAGTCTCAATCAGCTATTTAAGAAATCTTATCCTTTCCTGTTTTTTTTTTTTTTTTTTTTAGAAAGCTAATCAGTAAACTCTTCAACAGCTAGTTTAGCAACAAGGTCTCCTAAATTTTGCAATTCTATTCAGCATTTTTGACCTGTTGCTTTTTGCACGTGATTTCAGCCATGTTTTATTTTATTTTGGGGGTGGAAAATTTTTTACCTTTTGTGTTTAAACACAGCATTCTTTGCTTTGAGACTCAACTTGACCATTTTGAGTATTCTTGCTAAATTTGCTGGCCATGTCCACAGTCTACAGACAGATTTGTGTGGGGGGGAGGGCAGAATTTCTTCAGTGAACTATTTTGAGGAGAGTAGTCATGAAGGCACACCTTAGGTGGTTTTATTCCTGCGATCCAAATTTTATTTTCTAGCTAATATCACTAGGGACATTTGAAGCTTTAATAATTACATCTCAAGGCCTAAAGAAAAAAAAGAAGAAGAAAAATTATGTTTACTATGCATTCACACACAGCATTTCAGAGTTACCATCAGAGAGCCTGTTTGGCTACTTTAAAAAAATAGATTGATATCAAGATTCCATTTTAAGAGTTCAAACTTAGCTGACAGTTTGTTCTTAAAAAAAAGAAAAAAGAGAAAGGACAAAGTCCCAAAAGCTAGATTTAAGCAATTGTTTTTGTGGAAGGGTTTAGCGTTGCTTATTTGAAAGAGTAAAAAAATATAAGGTATTGATTTTACCTTTCCTTTTGGAGGACAGTTTTAGGATTTTTTTCCTCTAGAAAGTTTTGAGGCTATGATTCATGCTAAAAGTGCCGTGTTCCATTATGTACCAACACAGCTTTGAAGTTGTCCCTGCTTCTAGGTCAAGGGCTCCCCCTGTGGCTACTTGCCAGTTTCATCCTTGGACTCTCATGATCCTCCGAAACAAATCAACTTTCCAGTAAAATCCTGTGGTAGCTCTATTTTACATAAAAGTGTGCAGCCTGGGGACAGGATACTGCTTTGCATTTTAGGTGGACAAGAAGGGAGAGAAAACATCCATTCTCACCAAAAGATGATTCCCAGAGGAGTCATTACTGCAGAAACCAGACGGCAGCTCACAGGTATCCCACTCACTCTGTCTACAATCTTTCTAACTCCAAAGCTTGTTATTTGTGTGGAAACAACAAAAATACAAATGGCGGTAAAGCGTTCTAAGCCATGTGTGGTCCTGGTCAGTACGTATCCCACGAGTTGAAACAGTAATGAGCAGCTCAGCTCCTTTCGGTCAGTATCTCTTCCTCGTGGCATGAAAAGGGGGGGGGGAAATGAACAAGTTACTGTTACACATCACAACATGGATGAACCTCACAATGCTGAAAAATAAACAAGAGGCAAAACACAAAATCATGTATACTGGATCGTTCCATTTGTAGAACGTTCAAAAACACACAAAACTCAATCTCTTGTGTTGGGACAAAGTATGATGGTTTACCTTTGATGAGGAGGAGGGAGGATGGTGATCAGAAGGAAGCAGGGAGATGGCTTCAGGAGTGCTAGAAAGTTCTCTCCCTTGACCTGGGTGGTACATACAGAGATGTGTTCACTTTGTGACAATTCATTAAGCCATTGAGTTGTGATCTGTGTGCTTTTCCTCTGAGTGATTTACTTCAATTTAAGATTTTTAAAAATAATATCCCATTGGGAAAGATCATTTTAAGAACTATTAGAATAGTATTTTGTCTAATTAAACCATTTTGCCTAATTAAAGATATATAGATATGTATTACAGAGGAAAAATAGAAAATTCAGATAAGCTAAAGGAAAAAATTACATGAAGCTTGAGGGTAGGGCAATGGGAACGCTCATACCCTGCTACAGAGAATGTCAGGAGCTATGGTTGTTCTTGGGTAACTGTTCGGCATTATCTACGAAAGTTAGAGATATGCCTCTCGTGACCCAGATTCTACCCATGAGTAGACACCCAACAGCAATGTGTGCGTGTGAACACCAGAAGAATAGCAACTCTCTATTCGTGATAGCCCCAAACTGAAAACAAGCCAAATTGTCCATCGACAGTCGAGTGGACAAATAAAGTGTGTATATCCAGCCTTGGAATATCAAACAGCATTGAAAATTGGTGAACCATAGTACCCTCAGCAACAGGGATGAAACTGAGAAATCTAATGTTCAGGGATAGAAGCCAGAGGCAAAAAACTCTGTGCTCCCATTTACTTAAAGTTCAAAAAACAGTAAAAGACATCGTGATATAACTTTATAGTATTTAGTGACATAGACTTAGCTGGTAAAACTAAAGAAAAGACAAGAGATTATTATAAATGTAAGGGCAACAGTGACCTCTTGGGGAGAGGGTGGGTTGAGATTGGAAAAGAGATGGATAGAGGGCTTCCAGGCCATGTTCTATTTTTTTTTATATTAAGGTTTTTGTTTATTTATGAGAGGGAGAGAGAGAGATAGCACAAGCAGGGGGCGGGTCAGAGAGAGAGGAAGAAGCAGATTCCGCACTGAGTGCAGAGCCCACGCAGGGCCCACACGGGGGGGGGGGGGGGGGGGGGGGGGGGTTGATGCCGTCTGGATCCCGGGACCCAGAGATCATGACCTGAGCCGAAGTCAGGCACTTAACCGACTGAGCCACCCAGGCGCCCCCGCCATGTTCTATTTCTTTTTTTTTTTTTTTTAAGATTTTATTTATTTATTTGAGAGGGAGAATGAGAGAGAGAGAGAGCATGAGAGGGGGGAGGGTCAGAGGGAGAAGCAGACCCCCCGCTGAGCAGGGAGCCCGATGCGGGACTCGATCCCGGGACTCCAGGATCATGACCTGAGCCGAAGGCAGTTGCTTAACCAACTGAGCCACCCAGGCGCCCCTATTTCTTAACCTGAGTAGCAGTTATGTGAGTGTTCACTTTACAAGAATTTATTAAATGAAACTTTTATATATCGTGCACTTTCCCAAATGTGTTATATTTCACAATAAAAAAGATATAAAAGTCACATGAAACCCAATTACTCAGAGACAGTTAATAATTTAACACCTTTATATGTGTACTGTCAGGCCTTCTCTCATGCAATATATACCGTTTTTTCCCCCATTGCTTTGTAGGCTTTAATTTTTTTTTTCTTTAATGATATGACCTTCCAGAAGAATTCCTCTTCAAGTTTTTTTTTTTTTTTTCCGCTTTCCATTTAATTTTAACTAAGAGTAAATATCATACAAGCTTTATGCCCCTATGGAAGCCTAAAGCCATGGAATGGCTTTCAGGAAATTAGGTTGCTTTAGCCTAAGCTACATTGATTCATAAACCAATCTGCAGGATTTTGCTATAGCTCATGGGAGACTTTTCCTTCTCTGTTAAAAATGCGGCTGCTTCAAAAGGGAAAAGCCTCTTTCCACCTCTTCACAGTGCTATCTTTTCAAAAGGAAAGGCGAAGCAATGAGGGGGAAAGGCCAGTGAGGGAGTGGTCAGGAGGCTTGAGGCAGAGGAGGGGTCATCCTAAAACTTAACCACGAAACACAGCCTGCTGAGCCTGGCCTAGGCAACATTAGGAAGTAGATTTTCAAAATGACCTAGGGTGTTTTTGTCTGGGCACCTGGGTGGCTCAGTCGGTTAAGCGTCTGCCTTGGACTCAGGTCGTGATCCCAGCGTCCTAGGATCGAGTCCCGCATCGGGCTCCCTGCTCAGCGGGGAGTCTGCTTCTCCCTCCCCTCTGCCTGCCAGCCTATCTGCCTACTTGTGATCTCTCTCTCTTTGTCAAATGAATAAATAAAATCTTTAAAAAAATAAACAAGGCTTTCCCAACTCACTCCCTCGCTTTCCCTGTGGAGCACAAACGGCTTCCGTAGCTCCGTCACGCTAACACCGGCCGCTACAAAGTTCTAAAATCTGTAACTGCTCAGTTTCGAATACTTACCAGTAATGGCAATTTGCATTTGTATAGTGTTCGCCATTCCGTTAAGCACTTTCGCATATGATCTTGTACAATTGCAATAGCCAATCCTCCAAGGTGAGCTGGGAAGCTAATAATGCCACCATTTCGCAGGTGGAAACACTCTGCGAGAGCTTGAATAACCAGCCCCACATTATAGGATTAGTTTTCAGCGTAAGCCGGGAATAGTGACCCCTTACTGCTGTAAGTGGAAACACATACAGTGTATTCTACATACAGATATATGGTCAGAGAATAGGAATATCAAATAAATGTGTGAGAGCATTCTGATTTTTTAAAAAATATTTTAGGGACGCCTGAGTGGCTCAGTCGGTTAAATGTCTGCCTTCGGTTCGGGTCATGATCCCAGGGTCCTGGGATCGAGTCCTGCATCAGGCTCCCTGCTCAGCGGGGAGCCTTCTTCTCCCTCCCCCTGCTGCTCTCCCTGCTTGTGCTTTCCCTCTCTCTCCCTCTCTCTCTGATAAATAAAATCTTTAAAAAAAAAAATAAAAAATCTTTTAGTGGATATTTCTTTTTTCAAAGCACTTGGGTTTTTTTGGCTTATTTTTCATCACAAAATAAGTACATACTAGGTGTAAAAATCAAAAGAGCACAAATAAAATCGATATCACTTAGGATCACGTTAAATAGAGCTAGCTACTCACCATCTTAATAACTGAACGGATTAAGTCTTGAGCTCTTGTAGAGTGAAAACTCCCCTCCCACACCAGTTCTTTCCCCCACCCCCCACACACACTATATTCTTTATCTGCAAAATTTTCTGAGCTATTCTTGGCCATTTGCTTTCTTATTTAAATTTTAGAATTGGGTTTTACTAAAACTCTATTGAGGTTTCTACTGGCTGTGCATTATTTTTATGGACGAATTTGAGTAGAGTTAAAATTTTTACTGCATTGCTTCCTTTCTTTCGTAAGCACCGTATAGTTCTCCTTAATTTGTGCCCATTTCTACGACTTTTGAAAAATATGGCACGCTTCAAGAGTTTGTGTGTCAACTCTGCGCAGGGGCCGTGATAATCTTCTCTGTATTGTTCTAATTTTCGTGTGTGTGCTGTGGAAGTGAGCCCTCAGAAGGTAGTTCTTCACTGTTGGAGGATATCAGGAGGAAAGAGAAGAGGTCACATGTTCTTTACAATCTACAGAAAACAGTAACTGAGAAAGACATTAATCTGGATTAATTGTGTCTATCAAACATAAAAGTATTTAGCTGTCTGCTGACAATGGGAACTATGTTTTTGGCTTTTCTTATCTTGGCCCCTCCATTATCCAAACCAAAGCTCTTGTCCTGTGGGTGGTCTTGACAGAGGAAATGCACTAGGACAAACGGGTTATGGGGATGGGGAGGGGGGAAGAAAAGAGAAGGAAAAGAAGATGGTCAGCCTTGAGGATGAGGAGGGCTGGCGAGGAGGGACATGTGGCTGGGGCAGGTGAGGCAGGTGTTGAGCAGTGGCGGGTAGGGAAGGGATTAACAGCAAGTTTGGACTCTCTGAGTTTTGCTACTCCAGCAAACCAGCAGCATCCCCTTGGGATCTTGTCAGAAGCTCAGACTATGGGCCCCAATCATACCTATCCAATCAGAATCTGCATTTTAACAAGATCCCAGGTACTTCTTATGCACGTGAAAGTTCCAGGAGCTCCAAGTTGCCCCCAACCAGTCGGAGCCAGTCTTGATCAGTGTCATCAGCCTGAGACCTATTAATAGACGGAACGGATTTGGTTGCCTAGAGACCTGGAAATCTGGTTCCTGGTGTAGACTCGGAGTCTCCAAGTTCTTTTATCACTGTGGCCAAAGCCTTGTGACCTCAGTCGGCCTCAGTTTCTCTGCTAAGCATGTTAGTTCTCTGCAGCGGCTGGATCCTTGCCCTGGACCCCTGCTTCCTCTGCTCAGGTCCTAATGCTCGGCCAAACCCTTGCGCTCCCCCTTCCCTTCAGAAGCAGGCTGTGAGTTCCTACTCTTTCCTCTGTTTCTGGCGGGGGGGCGGGGGGGGCCTGCTGTGACTGGACCAATCACCTGGAACGGGGCCTGATTTTGAGTATTGTCCCCTGGCCTTCTTCCAGAACTGTGTTCTGCTGGCAGGGAGCACTCACTGCGATATCCAAACAGCCTGGCCCAATCGGAGCTAGTCATGCCCTTTGACTGACGCTCACTGGCCTGCCTGGTTGCCCCCGGGGATGGGCCAGCTTCTGAAGACAGGCTCTGGCCCCTGCGCCCCATTGGACTGTGGCTACGTCTCCCTTCCCATGGCCTGTACTGACGTGCTTGCAACCTGTCACAAAGAGGAGGCAGCCAGCAGAGACCGAGGGAAGCTTCAGTTCCTTCTCTCCCTCTTAGCATTTCTGACTCTAGGGCTCCATGGGCCTGCTTCCGAATGGACCTTGAAATTCCCAACAGTGCCCTTGGAGGCTGTTAGGTAACAGGTATTCTAAAAGTCCTAGAAGACTACTGAGTACAAACAGGCTCGGTGGTTTTGTATCCCTTGCACTTCTGGCCCTTTCTCCCAAGTGGAGAAAAAATCTCCTTTGCTGCCTGACTCACTTTATAAAAAGAGGCCAAGCCGTAGAGAAGCTCAATAATATCTCTGGTTACCATATCACCATTTTTTTAAAAAAAGATTTTATTTATTTATTTGAGAGAGAGAGAATGAGAGAGCACATGAGAGGGGGGAGGGTCAGAGGGAGAAGCAGACTCCCTGCCGAGCAGGGAGCCCAATGCGGGACTCGATCC